GGAAAGTCTTGTCCCACGGGTTTTTCGTATTAGGCCAAGTCACTATCAGCTATACCTTAGTCTAACTGTATCAGTCGTATAGCTGATAAGAGAACGGAGTGGCTAGCTACCGCTGATTGCTTCGGTAATCATCCCTCATGGTGACCACATGAAGGCCGGCTTGCCGAGGTCAAAACCCTCCAACCGGTTAACTGAGACCAAGCAGTACTTATTTTCTTTAACTAGAAAAAGAGCTTTCTAAGAGCGGTCTTTAGAATAGGGTATACGCCATGCCTCCCACCCTTTCGCTCCTTTGCTTGCTTTCCAGGGTCTTGTGTCCTTTTCGACGCATTCTTCATCGGCCCGCATACTTCCGAACATAACGAAGTAGCTGAGCGAAATCATTGCAACATTTTTGAGACAGCTCAAGCTCATGCGCTTTATACCTCTATAAAGAATAGAGGTGATAAAGTACAGTACATAGTCCGTTTTAGGGATTGGCGACTTACCCATTCAGTGACTTTGGCACTGGATGTTCCCAAAATAAAATGGGTACTATCGGGTCGGGTGAATTCAATAATAGACGTCTGTTGGCATTCCAGCCTTCCTTCTCTTTCTCCTTTCAGGGCCTATCCGAAAGAGAATCCAGTACTTCTTGGTCGTGAATATCTGAATAGGACGAACCGCCCCGTGGATATCTTTGCTTCGGAACAAAAGAATTAGGCCCGGTCAACTGGAATGTGTATATTATCCATATAGGGGATCTTCCAATTGAGAAGATCCATCGACCTGAGACGAAGAGAAGGGTCTATCTATTTTATTTAGTTATTCAGTTAAACCAACGATTCGTTATTGGAGCAGATAGCAACAACCACCATTTCATCCGACATACGTATTTTTTATTTTTCCAATGGATTGACATCTTTCATTAAGAAAAATTTTTTTATGTAGTGAGTAATAGCTCTGCTTGCTCGCTGTTCAAGAATTCTTGTTTAGGCAGTTCATACCATCCATACATAGTGTTTTGATCTAAGATTTAAATTCTTCCATGTTTCAGCAGTATGTTCCGTGTCCAAAATATGGAAGAAGGAGGTGTTTCCACGACTCTACCACCCTTCTGTTCCACTTAATCCCTATTTCATGGCCACATATCTTGATATGGATAGTCTGATGGCTAGGGACGAAATGGATTGGTTCCTCAGAGCTGGTTCGGGAGACCTGGAAAGATCTTGTTTTGGTACTCCCGATGGGAATGGAAAGAGAGAAGATGGTGCTTCTTACCCGCTTGGATATCCAGATATGGGCTAACCTCCGTCCCTTAGCGGGTTAGCTGGTCATGGGGAAGAATTTCTAGCTATCAGTTGGGCCGCCCCAATTTTCTTCTTTCTTTCGCCTACGAGGACCCAGGGGAAGAAAGACTTGGATTTGCCTCATTGCATCCCAGGGATCTAGATATGGGAAGTCCGCAGGATAGACATCGGAACAAAGAAATGGAGATAGAGATGCTTGGTAGTGGAAGATGAAAGATCTTGCTTAGCAGGTGCAGGAGATGGGGTCTCGATAGGAAGGAGGAGACGAGGGATCTTTAGTGCTATGGCCTGGTGAAGAAGAAGAACTTGGATGAGAAGGTTGGAGGAACAGAACTCATTGTCTCGCTACGCCTCGATGGCGCTACAGATCTTGAGTCATAGGGATGGGGTTCGGAGGAGGACGAATGAAGGCTCCGGCGAGGTCACTTCCTTTCCCGGATTCGTTAGATTGCCACCAGTTCCAGGATTGGTAGTTGGGCTCTGCTCGCTTGGTTGGTCATTCCCTTCTCTCTTGGTTGATGGATAGGTGGGCAGATGCGCTTACTTCCAAACGAAGCGGTCGATGGCAAGCTTTAGCTTAGCTGGCTAGCAGAACATGGGTTAATGGGCTGGCTTGGGATCCACTCGATTAGGACCGAGGTTCGCATTCATCAACGAAGTCAGCGCCAATCTTTTTGTCGACCTCTCATAGTCTTTTTCCGTCAAGAGCTTGAAGGAAACGTCTCGGCTCGGCGTTGAAGAGAGAGAGGACATTCTAAAGATAGTTGTTAAGGAAGCATCCGATTGAGAACTACGAGTAGGGGCTGTGAACCTGTCAGCTCAACCAGTAGACGGTGTAAAAGTAACTGGTGAAAGAGTAAACGCTGTTGGAGTTTTAAAGGCAACTGTGAACCCGCTGTTCAATCATCCCCAGTTAGAAAGGTAACCTCATGCCTAAGCGCTGTTCGAGAAGGATATGTGGGACTTAAGGGGTATGCCTTCCCTTCTGACTTTCCTTCGTCACCCGATTCCTCTCCTGATTACTTTTCTTTATTGCCATTTCCTGCTTTCCTAACCTTCACCCCCCTTCGGAAATATAAGGCAAAGCAATGAAGCTATCCGTGAAGAAGTGATTCCCAAGCGCGACACGGTCTGTCTACTCCACTGACTGGGAGAGGAAGCAGCATTTTGAACCAGATGCCAGCGGGTAGCTGCGCCGGAACCATGTTTTTGAATATCTGGGCTTTGAAAGACCAGTCGATGATCCATCCCTTGTTTTTCCCGTATATCACCCTTCGATCCCCTAATTTTCTCACTGGTTTCGAATGCCTCTCATCCCCGCCTGCTTCATTCGACTAAAAAGTCTTGATCGTACAGATCACTGAGATTCATTTCGATCGATTCTTCCCTAAAATCTTCCTCTTTTTGAGTTTTTACACGACCTCTGGTAATATGTGAATTCTGCTTTCCCTCTCCGTTGAATGAACTAACTACGGGGCTGCACTCGTCTCCCGAGCCAGAGAGCAAGACAAAATGAGAGGCCTGAAAAAAGATCCCCGTAGTTAGGAAGTAGTTCCTGGGCTCTTAAATCAACTACACTCAGGGGCGAGACAGGAAAGAGAGCACCGGATGATTGAACACTAGAAAAATCTCTAGCAAGAGTACCGGTGCTTACTCTTGCACCGCTTACGGGAGCAACTTCTTCTTTAACAACTTATTCTGTCTCTCAATCCGATTGTGGTCATACTTCTTCGACTAGGGAATTTGCTTCTTACCATAGAATAAATAGGAATGAAACTACTGCTATGGAATCTTCTGTAACAGACTATTCTCTAGGAGCGGATTCTTGTACTGATGAGTAAGAAAGTAGCTTCAAGCTAGGAGCTAAATCCCACATCGAAGAGCATGTGTCAAGCATAGTGGCATGCTCTTTCGACGATCAGACCTAAGAAATTTCTCTTTCTTATTCAACTGAAAGAACAACTTCCAAGTCAGTTACAAAAAGAGATTGAAAAAAGAACTCAAACTTTATAAACGACTGATACTACAGGAGAGTAGCTTCAAGAAGTCGACGAATAAGTAGAGATGGAATCAGCGACTGCGGAGGAGATAGATAGTTGTAAAAAGCTCGCCCTAAACTAAGGGTGGGAGAGGTTAGTATACGCTCGAACAAAGGGAGAGGAGTTGGCTGTCAGATTTGAAATGTGAGAAGCAAATAGTTCAGCTATAGGTTTCGGAGGGGAAGATCTCTCTTCCTCTTCTTTCTTGTCTTCTTATTCAATAGAGAGTAGGGCGGGAAGTAGTCTTCTTGCTAGCTTGATGGCTGTGACGAAAGAGCAGGCAATCTTTCCTCCGATTCATCAAACCGCAACACTTGATCTTGCCCCGCTTGCACCGTTCACTCACTCCTTCAGGAACATAAGAGAGAAAATTCGTTCATCAGTCGGTCTCTTCTTATCCCCAAGAGCTACTGCACTACGCCTAGCGGAAGGAAAGGAGGTCTTTTAGACTGTAGCCTACTTTAAGGTTGAAGGCGAGCGAAGGATACTAGCCAGACCGAACGGAGGGATTGAGTGATAGATTGATCGACGTCCGAAGCCGAAGAACGCTCGACCGCGAGTCCCAAGGCGAATTGTAAGCCCCAACAACAAAGGAACGAGCATTTTTGGGGACTAGCCCGCTTACC